CCTATGTCTTGCACATTTTTTGTACAATTTTGCCAATAATTAAAGTGAAAATTGGGAAATGTTTTCTGTTTCAGAGAATGTTTTTTTTTTCAAGTAGCACCCTTTAATGCATATGTTCAAAAACCTTATTCAATAAATGGTAAACATTGAACATACATGTTTATCTTGTTGTGGTATTAAATAATCTTAATACAAAAAATATTAAAATCATGTTATCATTTAATTTCCCATTTGTAGTATGTCATTTTTTCGATTGAGTCTCAACCTAAATCCTCTAAAAGTATACATTTTTCAGAAACATGTTATATCAAAGACCATAACTTTTTACAGCATGTGTTAAAATAGGGTTGTTTCTGTTGTGAAATTATTTCAGCAAAAAATTAACACAATCATAAATATTGTTTTATGTGGGATACATGTGTAACTTCACTAAGAATATTTGACGTTAATTTCTCATTTTGTACATTCATTGTTACATTCAGAACCCAAAAGACATTACATCAGAGAATATTTTTGATCTCTGTATTTTGTAGTGTCGTTGATCTGACCTATTTTGAATTAGTTAAGTATGTACATTTTGTAGTCTGTCACCGTCGACTTTATTTGATCACACATAGATGTATATATGGGTTTTATTGAAGTCGAACTTTTTTTAATATTTTAAACAAATAATTTATCATCCGGATTCTCTGTTCAACAATAAAAGAAACTTTACTGCAAAGTCAATATTCAATTTAAAGCATTTTTAACTACTGTACAAAACAATACGAGTTGTATACTGAATATTCATTATGTCCCTTCGTGTTAATATGACGACCATATCACTGATGTCATGACAATGTCCAAATGAACAACAAACATTTTACACTATAGTTGAGTTTAGTATGCTCCCAAAGCAGAATTCAAACAGCAATGCATGATGGGATTTATTGTAGTAAAGACAATAAATAAGTTATTAGATAAATTGTTTGATTAGTACAAACCAGAAGTCAACTTTCTGATTTGATTTTCGGCCAAAGTACTCAAAATTGAAAGGGCTTTCAATATATTTTGCTGACAATATAATTTTACTTATCAGTTAGTGTTTGTGTATCCTATATATATATATATATATATATAAATATGATCCTTGATTTATGATAAGGGTATGCAAATGAGATATCCATTTATGGTGATAAGTGATGATATCTCATTCCACGTAAGTGCATGCAATCAACACAGTTCTCACCAATTACATGACAGAATGCAGTGGACAGATAAAATGGTTCCATTGTGTTGACAGAAATTAATATGATTATCACTATAAAGGCATAATATTACAATAACATTGCAAAAACAGAAAAAACGTACGTGAACGATAACTCGTGCTAAAAATGGGCTCATGGGTGTAGACCCCTGTTTATCAATAATGACACACTATGGTCATCTGACGCATGTGCAGGGGATGACTCCCCTGCTTTAATATTGCTACAAACGTATGTCTTCAAATTTTCTCATATCACATCTGTTGCCTGCCCTTATCTCCTCAAACCTTAATATGAATCATATTGTACAGTTTCTATAGTGATGGTCAGGTAACCATGACTACTTCATAGGTAGTCTCAACCAGTGTATCACTATTAATGACTGCTTTCAGAATGTAATAATTATGATATTTTAAAATTCATTGAACTATC